TGAGCAGGTAGAGCTTGGATGCTTCATGCAGAACAGTTATGACCAACTCACCAGCTTTGCATGATTGCTGAGCAGTGCCGAGTGTGCCAGGAGTACAATGAATTGAGAGAATACCCTAGGAATGAATACCAGAGGAGTGATACAACTGAAAGCCCCAGTAAAGCTGAGACTCTTTGGAAATCCAGACAGCAGTTGGAGCATTCTCCACTCGTTTTATCATGTATCTGCAAAAGTCTGGTAGTGGCAAAATAGAAACAAGTCAGAAGATAGTTTTCTGTTTCCTTTCTATTTATTTTATAGTTTTTACCCCAGTCAGTAAAAATTAACCATGTAATTATGGAATTAAAACCGGTTAGGTAAAATAGTTAAGTATTCTGCATAAAAATGGAACATGACAGAGGAATTTTAACATACAAGTACATTGTGCAAAAATGTACAGGGCTGACAGGATGGAAATTGTAGTAGTATCAGAAATAAAAAGAGTTAAAGATCCCCACACTCCATGTGGGGTAAAGGCAAAAGTGAAGCTTACTCCCAAGGAACCTGAGGTTCTGAGATGCACTACTGGGAGAGAGAGATACATGGGTGTGTATATACACATATATCTATACACACACCCTCTCTCCAGAGTGCAAACACATATGTGAGTGATTGAGTGGAATGTTTCAACCTTAGGAATTTCATGGTGATCATGCTTGTAGAGACTTCCATCTCTACAAGTTCTTTATTTGAACAACCTTATGTTTGCAGCTTATCTAGAAGGTCTTGGAGACCCAGGAAAATGAACAAATGAATGATGCTGCCAAGACCTGCTTTATGCCTGGTTTCCTTTTCAATTATGCAGTGCTTGGCAAAAGTGAGGATGAAAATTCCTCTCTTCAATCAGCATGGGATCAACTCTTGAGAACAGAGATGCTGTGCTCCTGTGAGCAAAAGATGGTGCTTTCCCTAGCTGTCTCACAGTCAGTCCTGACAGTCTGCAATGAGAAGCTATCTCTGAGGTGAGAAAACCATGTGGAGGGATCTTTATTCCATGGAAACAAATAGTTTAATTCTGTCTAAACAAAAACTCACAGGTTTTTTGAAGGCTCTCTTTAGTATTTTGGAATTCAATCAGAATAGTTTGAGGAAAAGAATCAAGCTTCTGACATGAAGTAAAAATTGGAGATAACTTAAGGGAAGAAATTAAAGTGAGCTCAGCATTATCTTATAATGGACAGTATAAAAATGGACTCAGTCATTAAAAATCTCAGTTTTCCTTAGGTCCTCCCTATAGAAGTAATAGCCACTTGAAAGGCCAGTTTCAACTGAGGATTCACGAGCAGGCAGATGGCCTTTAATGTGACATGTACCAACATCACATCATCATCCAAGTGGAGAATGGGGTCTGTGTCTTATGGCAGAAAACTCCCACTGAATTTTTGAGAGCACTTGTAACTGTAGGGAAGGAACGACAGTGGCAGCAGGTCTGAAATTGATGGCAGAGAGCCTCAGCTGAATTGTTACTCTTTCATTTTTAACTATTCAGAACATAAAGGAAATGAGGGCTCTCTGGGTGATAACAACTTCCATATATATTTCTTGGTGCACTTGAGTATGTCCAGTGAAGCCTTTCTCATTCATGAGACACTGTCTCACCAGAAAAGTCCATGTCCATTGGGTTTCCACAAGCTGTCCAAATGTGAATGCTGAGTGTTGAGATTCAGATTGTTATTGGAGTTTATTAGTACATAATTAATACAGTCCTGCCTTTCTTTTCAAGATCTGGCCAAGGACTACAGTTTAGAGAGAGGACAGATAGGTCATACAACAAAGTAAGGGGGAGTATTTCTGCTCTAAGACTGTAGATAAGCTAGCACATACTGTTAATTTCTAAGGAGGAAAAAGGACCTTGGGTAGCCTTTACAGTCCTGTAAAATTAAGATTTTTATTTTTTTTTTCAAAAAACAACCAGCTAACCCCAAAAAAAACCCATCACTCCAAGTCTCCCATTTGTGGTCTACTAGCCTGAAACGAATTGGATCTTCTGTGAGTGTAGTCAGAAGACAGAAACGGCTGTTAGTTAAACCTGACTTCCCCAGCCCTGAAGTCTGGTTACTTCTTGACACGGGAGAGCAGCACTGTATCATCTCTTTTTTGCTTATGATTAGCATGTTCTTATGGGCAGAATGGAATGTCCTTGGATAACAACCTGGCACAGGTTCCTGAGATGCCAGTAAGGAGGTGTTTCTCAGGTCCGTGTGGTCCCAGGACCTCCCTAAACAAGCAGAAGAGTATCTGTTACTGCAGATCTAGATAGGAGCTGGGATTAGAAGAGCAAATGTTGGCAAAATCCTTGTGAGGCAGAGTTTAAACTTGACCATGAAATTATTATCTACAGAGTCATAGGGTGACTTTGGGTAAGACACAGTCTGAAGCCCAGCCAAACAGCTGTGCGTGGCTGGCATGTCAGGGCTTCACCACCAAGGGATTCCTGGAGGAACAGTAGTAGTAACAGATTAGCACAGTATCCACAGAGGCTTGTAACAACGCTTCAGGAGAGTTGCTCTTCTCTTTAAAAATGAGCTCAGTTATTCTATCTGATGAATGTGAAATTTGTCAAAAACCTAGTATTGATAACAGAGCCTAGCTATTCAGGGTTCTCAAAAATACAGCCAAATAACAAAAAACTCAATCATAATCAAAACAGAAAGAAAAATAGCGAAGTGGCTGCCTGTAGTGAGAAGTAGGCAATGTGACAGAAACACATAAAAGTCAAAATCCAAGTCATTCAGCAGTATGAAACACAACACTAAATAGCAATGGCTTGAAAAACTTGTTCTGTGACACCATCTCAAAAAACTTTATACCATACTCCAAGGAAAGGTTCAATGCCTTATGATTGCTGGCTGCACATACTTTCCCAGTCTCTCTTGGTTCCATCTTCTCCAGGCGAGCACCTTTCATGAACCTACTACAACCTCTTCTAGTGTACTGTATAGGTCGGGAAAGCTTCAGCACCTGGGCAAAGTTAAGTCTCCTGACCTCAGGAAAAAATGGAAATCTGAAAGTGAGCTCCGTCTTGTACTTGGGGATGGGCTGCAACCTCTTTTCATCTAGCTATGGTTTGCAGTAGAAATATTACCTGTTGCAATTCAATAAAAAAAGAATTGTCAAAGATAAGCTTCTAAAGTTATTCTTAGCATTTCTTTTTGTTCCATGGCTTCCAGACCCCAGTAGGTAGGTGGGCTGAAGCTCTTCATGGATATATCGTGCTCCTTGTTGAGGGAAAACAGGTCGCTAGAGGTGAAAATGCTTAAAATAGTTGTCGAATTTCCACTGAGTTGAGTAACACTTTAATGCACTTTCTATTAGCTATAGCACTCTGGCCCAGTTCAGACTCAGTTCTCATTCATTAGTCAGTGTATGTATGAGTCCACAGACTTTAATATATGTCAGACCAAGCCCAAAGTAATACGAGTGGCAGTTCGTTTCATGACAATCTTTCATAATATTGCAAGGATTATTTTAAAGCTTTTGTATATTTTGCAATATGAAAGTGCATATATGGATGGCAGTTATGAGGATAGAACCTCACCATTGTTAGAGCATGTGCAATTTGCCATATGCAGTACTTCTGAAATTTCTCAACAACCTCAGATACAGCTGTCCTCAAAACACATTTAAAGACTATGTCAAGAATTCTACAGAATGGCTCGATGCAATACCCCTTGTCTGCAACAATCCATGAAAAACGACACAATAACATGTATGATTGCTCCCATAGCACATATCTAAAGTCTATGCCATCAAAATCTTAATTCAGACATTTGAATCAGTTTGGAACACCAAACACAGAAAGTATCATCATCTTTATCTAAAATAAATAAAAGGTCCAACCCAACCTTTGGTCACAAAACACCAAAAAACTCACTACCCTAAAACTCCTCAAAAAACAGACCACACAAAAAACCCTCCGCATCAATACATTTTACCTCCTAAAAAGTAAAAACTAAATGAAATAGACTATCTATATCACTTTTTCCCTTTAGAATTTATGGCATATACATAGCATGTGTGACTCCGGCATACTGCAGTAATTTTCATAATTTTTAGGGTAACCTGTGTGTTCTTTACTGCTTTAAAGTAATTCCAATCTCATGCCAACAAATCAATTAGGAAATTCTTTGAGAAATGATCCTGCTTTTACTTAGTATGTAGCACAATAAAGACCAGTACCTTCTGGATGAGACTAGATGCTGTGGTAGTATAAATTAATAATAGGAACTAGGAATGAGTTTTATGTGACACTATAGGCTCTTTCAAGACTTTATCTTGGGTAAACATTTAGCACACCGTACTTATGTAAAGCTACCTGTTCAGAAAGTTCCTGCTGGATACAGCTGCTCCATATTACATATCTCTGATTTATACTAGTATATGTTAAGACAAATTATCACTGTGCAACTGCTGGGAATTAGGTTAATTTAGATTATTTTGCTATAGATTCTTGAATTCTGCAGACTTTCAATTGAGCTCTCAGCCAGGTTGCTTTCCAGACAATTGCCCGGATGAGATTTTGAGAGCAGGTGTTAACTCTGGAAACCTACTTAGTATTAAACGTACCTGTCTCACTGCTACCGACTTTGGATACGATACTTTTATCTTTTTTTTTCTAGTCATTGTTCTTCACAAAAGACCTAATTGAAAATATCTGTCAAACCATGTCTCTAGTTTCCCTCTTCTTCACCCCCCATTAATTGGACACGTATTGTGTTTGTGTGGGAAGGAAGGAGGCTCTATAGCAATATAGCAATATTGCTGGGAAAAGGACATTAAAATGGATAAAGGGATTTCCTAGCGGTATAAATACCTGCACACGACCTCCCTGTGCTCAGGAGCCCTCCTGTGTATGTATATGCAGGTAAAAAACCTGGAATAGAGCTCGAGCTGCTGTCAATTGTGCAGGATCTGTTCTGTTAGAAAACAGGGGCAAGTGGTTCTTTTGCCTGTTGAAGGGTATGACTTGCCAAGCGTTTGCTTCATCTGACACCTTTGTACCCTTGAATTCTGACTCTTCTCCCTCTCTGCCTCTGATAATGCATCACAGCGCCGCAGAGTGCCTGCCGGTTTCTAACCATGCCACCAATGTTGTATCTACAGGTACTTTTAAAAAATAATCTTGCTCTCGGTACCCTTCATTCGTAATGCTTTTGAATGATACGTGTTCATAGAGTTCTGCAATATTTAAAGTGCTTGGTATCAATGCTATGTGTGATTGGAACTTCACTAAACTAGAAATATTTTCTCAAAACTCTGCACAACTGAATCAGGAAAACCTCAAATGTTTGTGTTTTAGCTAAATTTATAGCTTTCTCTAAGTTTGTTACAGGATTAGGCTCAAATATGCTACCAATGCATTAACTTAGAACAGGTTCAAACACTGTTGCTGCTGTTATGACTCTATAGTCTTCAATGACAAGTGTTATGTAAATTAATAGAAAATTTGTTCATTATCTAACCAAAATTTAAAATAATATAAATTATTTTAAATAGGAAATGTATTTAAAACAAGTCAGGTCTAAATATCATTTGGGGAAGCTTTCAAGAAGGAAAAACAAACGTTGCTTTACAAAGCATTTTGCATACTGAATCGAAATTAACATTTCAGTGTGATGTTCAAAATTGGTGGGAGAAGTCCCATTAATATTTTTGAATTTTGTGTGTTTGTGTATATAATCCAATTAATTACATCTAAATACTAAGACTATGTAATCACTGAATTATGTGAGAGACAGAGAAAGAAAGTAAGTTTTCTTGCAGCCTTATACCTGCAGAAGTGGGATTCTGGAATACAGGGTTTGTTGATGGAAAGCTTTCAGGAACAGAAAAAGACATAGTTTTGATTTATTTGAAATTGCATTAAGGCAAGAATTTTATCTGGAGCCTTAAGAAGAAATGCAACCTGAAATTCATTGGTAATAAAACATTTTAATAAGAAGAAAAATCATGCAAGTAATGAAAATTGAGTACTGCTGATAGATAATATGATCTTATACAGTAAGCAGGAGGCTCAAAATATCCTAACAGGGCTGTTGGTTAGCACTGATAGTAGGAAATAGGAGAATTTAAATTTTGTATGAGGCCAAATGTATGTGTTTGTATCATAGTAGTACTCTTTAGATTCATCTGATTTGTAATAAAAGTATATAGTGACACCCAGCTGAAAGCATTTGCTGATTTACTTCAAATTTGGGTTTTGTTATTTTGTGGTTACCGTCTAAGGACAAATACCTCTGCTGTCAGTGGGAATTTTGTTTGCAGGATCACATCTAGCAGATGACCCTGTGAAGATGGAAGCAGTAACAGAGAGTAAAGGTTTAAAAATTTCATACGTAGATTCAGAAATTGGATTAAACAATGTCATTCTGGTGAAAGCGTCTAAGGAGAAATTATGCACAAAGTAGTTGTGAAAGAATTTTGAATGATGACTTAGGTTAAATATCAAAATCTTTTAAAATGCATGTAGCAATTCTGCGTCACAAAATAGAGGTGAATATACTTCTGTTCAAATGCTACATCATGTTATACAGCTCATGTTCTGCAGTATTCTTAACACTTGGATTGTTATTATTTAATTTTAATAGCATCACCCTCACTATTTAATTTTAAATCCTTATTAGCAAGTTGAAAATGTTTTTATATAAAAATCATAGTTTATGGATTATGAAATAGAAAAAACACAGGTAAACACTTAGATCTTATCTCAATAGAAAATTTGCATGGCTCTAAATGCATTAGTGCTATTAATGCAATCTTTATTTTGCGTACATTTATACTAATGTGGGCATGCCTGTTTTAGTAGATTTTATATCTGTATAAGTGTATCTAAACAGGATGTTTCACTCTTATAATTACTGTCGTAAAAAACAGAGATTCTAATTCCTAATTAATTACATTGTTTTGAACAACTGGAATGTGGCTCTAAAGTGCAGTTCTACGTATATGAATGTTCATGAACATGAATTTTTAATATTATACTTTATAGCAGTTGTTAGAGGAGACAGTATATGCATATCCGTGCTTACTTATGCATAAGAAACAACCATATCTCCCATTTTTCATTCAGCAAAAAATTATCTGTTTCTTTAGGTCCTGGTGATTACTGAGCACAGATCTGAAACACCACTGTGAAAACACTAGAGATAAATTAATTGTGTTTGTTGGTGCTGATGATGGAAAATGTTGATTTAGGCCTAAATTTTTAGAAGAGCTTGGAGTCTAGCATCCGGTTTCCCTTCCACCCTGCCAAAACATTCTGAAATGCTTTCAGTGGCTTGGCACTTCAGAAAATGTCACTTCTGGATGCCTCAAAGCAAATGTCCCAAACTGCTGCTTTTGGAAACCCAGGTCTTAGGCATGCATAAAATATTGCCTTCCTTGATGCCTATATTCACTGTGGGGTTTGCATGACAGCAAAGCCAATCAATTTTCTGGGAACATAGAGCGAGTTTTTATGTAAGATTAAATGGAAGATTAAATAGTGTGCGGAAGCTGGGTGGGGAGAGGAACTTACCTTCTCCTGGAGAGTTCAATTCTTCCCTTGCTCAGCAATGTATGTAAACTGGGTTATGCCCATAGATTATACTAAAAATAGTGTGTTGAGACCACAACATGACAATTTCTGGTCTTAGCTCAGAGGATAGCTCCCTATTTATACTGGCAGTCTCATTTGATGTGACCTGGCCAAGTGTCTGGACTTCCAACAGTGTTAACCTGATGGTTATTGCCCAGAGCTGAATGCTTACTGAATGCACATGAAAACTGTCTACAAGGGTACTGTCTGCCTCTGAACTTAAAGTCTGTGTCTTGAATCCTCACACATTTTCTTACCAATCCCATCTCTTTTGTCTTTGATCCAAACTCCTGTATCCGCTTTGCCATGACGACTTTGGGAAACGCTTTGGCAGGTCTTCATTACTCTGTGCCTTCCTGTCATTATGGAAATCAGCCGTCTACCTATGGGGTGATGGCAGGTAAGAGACATACCCTCAACTGAGTGAGATTTTTAGCATGTTGATTTTGGTCAGTTTGCCTTTAAAGGGACTGATTCAAGGCAGTAGCTTAAAGAGGACAGGACTGGGGTTAAGGCATTAAAGAAGGGGTTAGGAAATCAGGGATCAGTGCCCAGAGTTTCCCCAAACCTCTGCATCTCTCAGGAAATCATTCTGTATCTTACTTCTCTCTACAAGACTGGATCAGTGCTGTTGTTTTTGCTCACCTATGTCCACCTTCCCTGGTAATCTTCACTTTTTGATGGATCAGGAGTAACATACCCAATATACCTGTATATTACCAGTACCCGGGGTGATGGAGCCATGACTGGAGCTATAAAATGAAATGGTGACATAACGGAAGGATAGCTGAAATCAGCAGGCAGATCAAACAAATAATTGTGGATTTTTACACTCAAGAACATATGCTAGCATCTTGCTCAGTTTTCCATGTCCCAGACTGAGTAAGAGAGAGGAACTGTTATTCCATGCAAGTTCGAGTAGCAGTCAATGAGATAATGCCATGAAACAAGTACACAAGTCTCAGGAAATAATCGTGAGTCAGAGCTAATCCAAAATCAAACTCAACATTATATTTCACTTGAGAACGAAAGAAATATCAGAGTAAGTCAACATAGATGAATATATTTGCATAGGGACTTTTTAGGGACAGAGTAGATTTCCTTCACGGTGTGTGAATGTCCAAATGCTCCAGTTTCATTGTGCATTTATTTATCTGTTGCAAACGTTCCTGACGTTGTTCATATCCCTCAGAAAAGTTAATAGGTATTAAATAAAATATATTGCCCAGAAGTTCATTTTGTTTCATTCCAAAATAAATACAACTTGATTTTTCTCCTTTCATTTTTTAAACTTTGTACTTTTTTAGGTATCAAGCCTGCAACTCCAGAGATGCTATCAGCAAGTCTCTCCCAGAGTCGTATCTTACAGACATGCAGCATGCCACATCCCAATGTGGTAAATGGTGTCAGCACCTTGCAAAGCAAGTCCTTCTCTTTTTCAGTCTTTTCCTTTATTCTTTGAGAAGATCTTTGTTTGGTGGTTATCCTGTGTGAAGCATATAAAGTATTCCTATGGGGTTAGAACCTCCAACGCTAGTGAGAGGAGTCAGGGCAGAAGACAAGAAAAGTAAATGGAGGAAGAAGTGGGAGGTTAATGAAGTTCTGAGTTCTACTACAAAGTTTTGTGTAATTTAGAAAATTGGGAAGGATGTCCTGAGAACCCGGAATTCACTGGCTGCTCCAGATACACTGAAGAGCATTAATATTTCTCCAATTGCTTATCTTTTTCCCCTTCAGGTCAGAGGCTCTTTAGCTCTATGTACAATATCTAGCAAAAAAACCACAGCTTTCAGTCTGAACTGAATCTACTTATTAAGTCTGATATTTGTGAACAATAATGAGATAGTTTTGTTTTGGGCTTGAGCAATTTCTTTTTAAGCCAGAATGATCGTTCTTAATGTGGTGGTTTTAGGTTTGAGGGTTTTTTTTTGTTTAAGTGCTTACCTGTGTACTTTCCTCAAACAAATTTTATGCCAAAGCTAAACCAAGGTAGTATCTTGTCTGGGCATCAAATAATATTTGCATGGAAATATTCTTTGTACCAGAAAATAGAGACTGGCACGTTTCAAGTGACTCAAAATGACATAGATCCATCAATCTCATTGTGCTACTTAATTCCAGCTGAGGTCCTAGATTGCTGTTTGTTTATGTTTGGACCGCTTACCATCTTATTTATGCACATCACAGTTTGCTATAAAAAAGGACGGCTATGGCCTGTGAAAGTGTCTGTTTGTTTGGTTTCATGTATGAGGACAAGAGAGAGACTGTATCTCCTAGGAAATGCTCACTCTAGGATACTTTCGTGTATGTTATATAATAAGTATTACAGATATTGATGATGAAGGCATGTTTTTATTGTGTAACAATAGAGAATTACTGTACTGAGGGTTTTTTTTGGTGTTGCTCAGGTAGCCTGACCCCTTGCCTTTACAAATTCCCGGAGCATGCCCTGAGTGCCAGCTCCTGTGCCCTGGGTCACAGCTTCACGCCCATGCACCAGTCCCTCCTCACAGACGATCCCACCACCGCGGACTTCAAGCAGGAGTTCCGCAGAAAAAGCAAGTCTGTCGAAGAGCCCATCGACATGGACTCCCCTGAAATCAGGGAACTGGAGAAATTTGCTAATGAATTCAAGCTAAGGAGAATTAAGCTGGGTATGTGCTTTATGTCCGCAAAGAAAATGCTGGAAAATTCCAATGGAAGTCTAATTATTTCCAAATGGTTTACAGTCTAGCCTCTGTAGTTGTCTGATCATAACTCTAATCCTGCCTTGCACTGCCAAACTTTCCCCGTTTCTAGAAGACTTGCACAGAATTAACGAACTTCAGCTTTTTGCAATTTAGTACGCAGAAAGTGACTTTAAACTTTCCTGACCTTAAATTATTTGTCTTAAGTGCAGAGCAAACTATTTCTGTTTATTAAATTGCATCCAGTAGCAGGTGTGTTATTTTTCACAGCCCCAAATTTTCTGCGATTTAAGGCAGCACATGCTCTCACCTCTTATGCCCATTCTCTTCCGTATGAAGAGTTCTATCTCACAAGATGATGTGATGTCATTTTGGTATACAAGTTAGGTGACGTCCATGGCAAATCTTTCATACCAGTGAGAAGCTTCTCTTCCTGTTTGATTTTCTTATGCCAAGATACAGGTACAGCAGCAACTGCTATCTGTTGCTATGTGATAGCTGCTGGGGTTGATGCGAGACAGATTGCATTAGAGGGTCCCTGGTGAGCTGCTTTCCTTATTTGTGAAAATAAGGACTGAAACAAAAAAATTAAGGTTTAAAATAGTATTTTCAACTTTGTCAGTTTTGCTGTGTATCATGTACTTAATGTCAGCCGCAGCAATAGAAACGTTTGCCAGGCCCTAAGATATTAATCACTGTAATTATTACTGCATCTTCATCCTGATTTGTGAGGGAACAAAACCTCCTCTGATGCAGACAAAAGACACAAAGCCTGCAAGACTGGGCTTAATGCTCTGACGGGAAAAATGCAATTTGCACAGGAAAACCACTCTAAGGTTGAGCTTTACAAGGGAAGACAGAGGCCATGTGCACTGTGGGTCTGAGACTGAGAGATACAGAGCCAGTGCAATCAAAATGGAGGTAAAAAGCTGCCTCGTGAGACACTCAGCATCTAAAGAGATTGTGCCTGTTCTGATGCAGAGGCGGAAAGGGAGGATGAGAAGCCAGAGCCCTGAGCGCGGCAGATACACATTCAGAGCGCTGAACACGAGCTGCTGTCACAAAGTCAGTGTCAGCACAGAAAATGCAGCGGTTCTCTGACCGCTTCAACTTGGTTGTTACAACAAATAACAGGAGACCAGCGGTGCTGCCAGGGATCAGCATATTGCCTTTGCACCATCTATAGAAAGAAAGATATAGGGTCTGGATCCTTCTCAAATCCCTAATCTTGGAGTTTAAAACTCTACTAAATCAGTGTAAAATTCCACTGAAAGCAACAGGACACTGAACACGTCTCCGAAGTGAGTTCAGAGTCAGCCACAGAGATCTCTGCAGAAAGCCCATCCTGAAGATACTGCAGGCAGATACTGTTCACAAGAGCGAGCAGTGAAGGGCTAGGCATCTCAAAGAAAATAACCCTTTCTAGAAAGCTCCACAGTGACTTTTTTCTCTTCGTTTTTGACAGGTTATACACAAACCAACGTTGGAGAAGCACTGGCGGCTGTGCATGGCTCTGAATTCAGCCAAACTACTATTTGCCGGTTTGAAAACTTGCAGCTGAGTTTCAAGAATGCCTGCAAACTGAAATCAATACTGTCCAAGTGGCTGGAGGAAGCAGAACAAGTAGGAGGTAGGGAACTGAAATCTTCTAAATATTGACTTGCATTTAAACCAGAATCCTATATATATGTTGAAGTACTTGTATGTGTCTTCTAGACTAAAGTTTTTGGTTTACTGGCTTTAAATATTAAGGTGTGCTTATATTAAATTTTGGTTATCTTTTTGGGTGAGCAAGGAGGGGCAGACTGAAATGCATAGAGGGTAGAGAATAGCAGAAACATCACTTGGCCCACTAGAAGTAATTTCTTTCAGTTCCATCACAGCAAACTAGAACCACTCCTGTACCGTAGGTCAGAGCTATTAGCAGGATCTCCGGGCAGCCCATTTAGCAGCATATGTGGATTCTTCACTAGCAAAGGACTCTTCCTTACAGCCCCTGGCATGCGAGATGCGGCCATGGGGGAAGGGGTTTGAGTTCAGCTGAGGCAGTGGTCTTTAAATTCTGAAAAGGAAAAGCATGGCATAGAGATTTTTGATACGACCTTTTTGCTGCTTGGGGATTCCCGTCCTTTTACCCAGTTACTTTCCAGTTGCGCAAGAGTCATGAGTTTCACTGGGCAAAGCGTACTTCAGCATAGGTTGGTTGATTTAAAAGAAATAGGTTATTTTAAAGAACAGCCTTTTCAGCTGGATGAATTGCGATGCTGGGAAGCAGTATGCCTGGAGGTGACAGCGAAAGTCAGGACTGTCACTGTGCAATAGTCACCTAGCACGGGAAGAAAGAGAAGATGATCTTAATGCTACTTCTTGGATCCACCATTGTATTCAACAGTAGGAAATGTTTTTTAACAGCTGCTTCTGCCACACACTTCAATTTCCTTTGAACGAAGTGCAGAAAGCTTCCTTCCTCTGTAACTGCACTAGAAACCAGAAGCTCTCCTTATGTGGCTGGGACGTTGCAAGAATCCTTTGTGAGGGCTTTGGGGTGGGTAGCAGCTGCTGACTGCCCAGGAAATGTTACAGGCTTCAGCTGCAGGGTAAGATCATGCGTACAGGCAGCAGCCTTGGAGAAGCAAACGGGAACTTGTCCACCAGAAGGTGGGGTGGAAGAGGCAGATAAATAAATGGGGTTGGGGGCCGAGGCTGTATTTCTGAAGAAAGAGGGCAAGGTAGCTGAGGGGTATGGAAATGGACACCATCTCCCTAGATTGTACCCTGCAGGGTGGGAGGAAGAAGGTATGTGAAAGGAGGGGGCTGAAGTATGGGTCCACAGGTACATAGGCGCAGAGCCAGTGCTGTTTACATCTTTCCAGTAGCACACCATTTTTGCTTATAGCAGTTATAGCTGGAGGTAAAACAATGACCAACTATCTTAAAGAAAAAAGTGCTCCTATGGGTGGTGCCACTCTTACTTGCACCATTATCTCTTATGCTTTCTTCTGTCTTCAAAGAAAGAGACTTTTTTTCTGGAGATCATTGTCCTTGTTTTCCTTTCTCTGTGGATGGTAACTGCCAGGTTTGGTTTTGTTTTAAATACAGCTTTATACAATGAAAAGGTTGGAGTGAATGAGCGGAAGAGGAAACGCAGAACCACCATAAGGTAATAAATATTTGGGGCTTTACATGCTAGAAACCACTTCGGCTAAGATGCTTCTTTTTCTTTGGTTCGAAATCAAAGTGTTATTTTCTATTAATTAACCCCTACACCTAGTGTTTCAAAACAGTTCAGCATTTTGAAACATTCCAGTGAAAAACAACAGCATAACCCTCCAAACCCCCAATTTTCTCCAAGTGTTCTACTTTTCCCAAATTAAGACTTTTTTTTTCAACACACAACACACTTCAATATTAAAAAATATTTCATTCTAATTCTGCCCAAATTTTATAGTATCTATATAGCGAATAAGGTATGGGAGACTCTTGTTTCCATTTTGGGAGGTTCTACTATATACCAAAATAAATTGCATTATTTTGCCAGAGAATCGAGGCCTTGGAAGCTTGAAGGCAAGCTTTTACATGTAATATTGCATCCCTATCTCTGTCACTGGATTCTTTGGAGTTCCCAAAGAAACATTTTAATGAGCTAAAGGGAAAAAACAGGTAGTTCTGGGAACCTCTTTCTCTTATTTCTCACATCTCTGGCAGCCAACATCTACCATTTATCTAGTCTCAACTCCAAATGGAAATCAAGTAGGCTGGTAAATCATATTACAGAAACAATTACCAAATGGGCAAAATGAGATTGTGGTATTTTCTTCTCCTTTAGATATCCTAGACTCTTATAACCTTTGGTGAAGAAGAATTCACTCAGGGAGCCTCCAAGGAGCTATAGTATTCTCCTACAGGAAGAGCATTTGGCTGCCTCTGGGCACAACTCTGATGATGTCAGGTCCTACTCAATACAGTGAAGTCCCTGTTCTTTGAATAGGGATCATTCCTGATGCGCCGTGCCACCTCGGGGAAACGTAGGCTGCTCTACTGTCCCACAACCACAACATGTACCTTCTCCTCTCACATTCAACTTGAGACTTGCTTTCTGAGTCATAGAATCATAGAATAGCTTGGGTTGGAAAGAACTTTTAAAGATCGTCTAGTCCAACCCCCCTGAAATGGGCAGGGACATCTTCAACTAAGTCAGATCGCTCAGAGCCCCATCCAGCCTGACCTTGAGTGTTTCCAGAGATGGGGCATCTACCACCTCTCTAGGCAACCTGTTCCAGTGTTTCACCACCCTCATAGTAAAAAATTTCTTTCTTGTATCTAGTCTAAATTTACTGTCTTTCAATTTAAAACCATTGTCCCTTGTCCTATCACAACAGGCCCTACTAAAAAGTTTGTCTCCATCATTCTTATAAGCCCCCTTTAAGTATTGAAAGGCTGCAAGAAGGTCTCCCCAGAGCCTTCGCATCTCCAGGCTGAACAACCCCAAGTCTCACTGCCTTTCTTTGTAGGAAAAATGTTCTATTCCTCTGTTCATCCCTCTGAACCTGCTCAATCAGGTCCATATCTTTTCTATGCTGAGGAGTCCAGAGCTGGACACAGTACTCCAGAGTGGAGCAGAAGGGCAAAATCACCTTCCTCGACCTGCCGGCCATGCTTCTTTTTATGCAGCTCAGAATACGATTGGCTTTCTGAGCTGTGAGTGCATATTGCTGGCTCATGTCCAGCTTTTCATCTGCCAGTACTCACAAGTCCTTCTCTGCAGGGCTGCTCTCAACCCCTTCATCCCCCAGCCTGTATTGATACTGGGAGTTACCTTGACCCAGATGCAGGACCTTGCACTTGACCTTGTTGAACCATGAGATTCACATGGGCTCACTTCTCAAGCTTTTCCATGCCCCTCTGGATGTCATCCTGTTCCTCAGGCATGTCAACCGCACCATTCAGCTTGGTGTTATCTGCAAACTTACAAATCCCACATTCTATGTCTATTTAACAGTACTGGTCCCAATAAAGACCCAATATGTCCATGAGGGACACCGCTCATCACTGATCTTCATCTGGATATTGAGCTGTTGATCACTATCATCTGGATGTGACCATCCAACCAACTCCTCATCTACCGAACAGTCTATCCATCAAATCCATATCTCTTCAGCGTAGAGAGGGATGTTGTGGAGGACCATGTCAAAAGCCTTACAGAAGTCCAGACAGATAAAATCCATAGTTCTTCCCTCGTCCACTGATGTAGTCACTCTGTCACAGAAGGCCATTAAGTTGGTCAGGCAGGAGTTGCCTTTGGTTAAGCCATGCTGGGTGTCTTGAATCACCTCCCTGTCCTCCATGTGCCTTAACATAGCTTCTAGGAGGATCTGTTGAATGATCTTCCCAGGCACAGAGGTGAGGCTGACAGGTTGGTAGTTCCCAGGATTCTCCTTTCTACGCATTTACAAAACGGGTACAGTGTTTCCCTTTTTCCAGTCACCAGGGACTTCACCTGACTGCCAGGGCTTTTCAAACATCATGGAGAGTGGCTTGGCAACTGTATCAGACAATTCCCTCAGGACTCTGAGATGCATCTCATACATTATATTGCTTTTGATATAAGGCATAAAATTAAGATTTGATTTCTCTCTGACTTTTGAATTAAGTATTCCTCTGAGGGGATGATTCTCAATTAGGAGTGGATTTGGAATGGGAGATGCTTCATAGCTCATTTGCTCATCGCAGTACCTCACAAGGGATGAAACTTAACTCTTCAGAGGCCAGTTTCTCCTCTCAGCTTCTCTCCAAGACAGTAAGGACTTGAGTGGTGGTGCCAAGACCTTCCCTAGTTTATGCAGTACGGCCTGCATGAGAGCTGTGAGCATCTCTGTCCTGAGTGTTTTCCTCTGGCTAGAGGAGCCCACTGAAGACTGTTCATCTGACATTGTGAGGTCTGATGTTGTTTTTTAACAGCTATTGAGAAAATCAGTCCTCATATTAAGCATTTTTTAATTATGCCTGCTTTTACATCTAACCCCAATGCATTGGGAGTGTCAAATATGGCAGGTTGTCAAGGGCACAGGTAATTGAGGGGAAGTTTAGGACCAAATCCTATATAGTAAGAAAATATTAATGGTTCCTTCGAAGACATATAGGACCTCAGTTTGAAGACCTGTCACTAATCAGGGCGATGGACTTTGTCTGAACTGCAACCTTACTCTTAGCAATTCTTAACGGATGTTTGAAGGTAAACTAGAGGTAAAACAAAAGTCCCACAAAGTCAATTAGGTTAATAATACCCTCAGCAAAAGCTACTTAATTTGAAATTGTGGAAGCTATTTTATTTTATACTTCAATCAAAGCCTAAGAAGCTGTTAGTTAAAAATTACAATGTTTCTATACTTCTGCATGTGCAGAACACCATGCTACTAATCGGTGTTTGGTGATGTTACTAAATATTGTAAAATTTACCTGTAAGCGAAAGACCAACAACATACTACAGACGAGGTACTTAAATAACTAGAACTCCAGCAGATACTCTGTATGTATAACAGAAATGCCTGCACCTGGTTTCCAGAACAATGCATGAAGTGCCCTCTTGTGTCCAAAGGATCTACAGCTACTGCTGAAGCTCGTTCTGGAGGCGTCCCGGTGGCCCGCGAGCATGTCGCAAATACTCGCTGTTTTATGAGAACACGTGATGCAAACGGGAAGCAAATTCTGTCTTTTTTCCAAATAAGAGAAGATAGTAGTCTTAACTTATATTATTTATTGCACCACTCAACTAGGGTTAGTAGATTAAGGCAGACTTTTAGAAAATGTGATGTTGGCTGAAACAGTTTACTGTAATCTCTGCGATTTCTAGAAATACTCTAGTGCCCTCTCTATAACCAAACGAGATGCAGAACTTGATACAACATGCAATATTTTCCAAATTGTAAGTGATGGAGCTCTTCCTCGTTGTAAACCCAAATGATTTGAAACAATCAGGTAATCCCAGTGACATGTGTTTGCTGAACCCCTATGACACTGCTGTGACTGGGGCAGAATGGGTGGTCAGGCTTGTTCCAATTTCTGTGATCCCATTCATGACTAGCTAGTAGATTGATCTCCTAGAGAACATCAAGAAGCAGAAATATGTCATGATTATCACTGAAATTGTGCTGAACTTGATGCTAATTTGGCCTTTAAATTACTCTGTGCTGAAATTCTGCATGATGTGATGCTGTTCATGCCAGCAAAGAACTGTAGTGTACTTTAAGCTCTGTGGGTTTCCTTTACATAGAAAAAGAGTAAAACAAAACAAAGTCATTATCTTCAGTGCTTTTAATTGACCTTCTCCTGAACTAGTGGTGGAAGTCTGAATGTGTCAGAAAAGTTTTTAACAGTGAAATTTTATCCCTTTATCCAGCATCGCTGCCAAAGAAGCCCTAGAGAGGCATTTTGGAGAGCAAAGTAAGCCTTCTTCTCAGGAAATTATGAGGATGGCTGAGGGGCTCAATCTTGAGAAAGAAGTTGTGAGAGTTTGGTTTTGCAACAGAAGACAAAGGGAAAAAAGAGTGAAGACAAGTTTGCATCAGAACGCCTATAGTTCTATTATCAAGGAGCATCATGAATGCCGGTAAAGCTTTTCCATGTATAGATGTGGATTTCTGTTTTACTTCTTGTAAATATTGTAAATATTATGTTGTTAAAAAAAAAAAAAAAGACAAGAAAAGAAAAGAAGAAACAAAACATTAAACCATTTGTTTCTCTTGCAAGCTAGCCAGCTTCATATGTAGTATGTTGTGGAAGACCTGATTTTAATGTAAAAGTTTGGAAATAAATTAAATGCTATTGCATATATCCAAAGAGTTGGAGGTCTCTGCCTAAGTGCAAGGAACCTATAATGCATTATTCAGCTAGAAATGCTTTCTAAGTTGCCCAGGTACTTGCAGTTTCCCTGTGCAGTGCCTTTCTTGCATCTGTGGTACATTGAATGATTAAGGGAGAACACCATGTAGGTACGCTAAGCATGAGGAAACAAAGCCTTTGTGTTGTACGTGAAGAAAAGTTACAAAGCTTGATATCAGCAGCTATAGTATTGAAAGCATTTTGCCTCTGCATGTCCATGCACGTGCTTTACCCCCATTCCACGCTAACTAGCTAACTGCGCTAACCTTTGCAAGACTGTAAGCCATTAGGCACATGGCAGGGACCCATCTCCAGAGGTGAACACTGAGCATCAGTGAGAAATCATAACTTTAAGGAAGAGAAGGAGAAAAAGTGACCTTAAACAAGCAGTGGTGACACTGCTGAATATCTATTTATGGCCAAGGATGGCATATACCCATGGGATTTTGTGGGACTGCCACTGGATCTGAGAGCCAGGTAGAGGAATGCAAGCTGAAGACCTGCCTTTCCAGAGAATGGCTCAAACTCAGCTACCTGCTCTGTACACCTCTGAGTGGATCTGGATCATTTCAGGTAAATTCCTTCTGTAAGTTCAGGACAAAGCCATTGGAAGGGTGCCATAACTGTTGTCATTATTTACAGTAGAGTAAACTTACCAGTACGGAGGTGTGAACACTGTTCCTACTGGGTGCTCTGTCTCAGCGTACCATTTGACTGCCTTAAATGAGTGCCGAGTAGAAATTACTTCTTTCTATGCTTGTTGCCAAAGGTAATTCTTGCTTATTTGTTATATGCCTTAAAGTTTGATTTGGATAGACTTAGCTATAAAAATTGGGATGCAATTTACCTTACCTTAAGAGTTTGTGACCTGAGGGGAGAAAACTAGAGAATTATCAGGGGTTTTATTACTTTGGACTTTCTACTAATTGTGTTTTTTTTCTGATTAAATCCATGTGTAGACATGCTTACATCGGAGATAGTGTGTTAAGCTAGAAAAAAGAAGGCCCTTGCGCTGTGACATAAGTGTTCACACGAAGCATTTATTGCATTGTACATTCCCACTTTCTTACACCCCGCTAATTGAAAATAATCTCTTATTTGTCATCTAGCCTAGAGAGATAATCGGGGGAGGAAAAAAAAACAGTGGTAGAACTCTACATATCAGAAAGCCGGGCACTGAAACACTGAATTAATGACTATAGTACTCACAAGGGATAGATTATCCAGCCATCTCATCAGCGCTGCTCATTGTTATTAGAATAGCCCATTACCATATATGTGTTTTTGACTGTTTTCCCAGGACTGAAATTAAGTAAGTACACACAAGTAGTAATGGCTGATACATTTTATTTTTCCATAAAACAGGCCTGATGATTTAGAAAATGTCTAGATAATAGGCCCACAGAAAGCAAAAGGAGTTTAATGCTCAAGACCACTTAGAAACACTGTGTACAAGTTAAGTGTTCACTCTCCAGTGTACATTAAATTATCTCTGATACCCATTACAGTGACCATAGGCATATTCAGCTATGGAAATTAGGCTCCTGGATCAAAAAAAAATACAGTTTAATGGATGAATGCATTGATATAATCCCTTAATTTAGAAGAAAATTTCATTTTAATAACTCAAAGGGGAGAAATGGTGCTATGTACTCTCTTCAGGTTGTTCTCACCACTAGCATGGCTCACCCACTACAGCAGAGAAAGACCAAGCCTTAGCCGGTATCTGCCACATGTGCATCGACAGATTATGAACTTTCCAAAACGATAAAAGATAAATACTGTTGAGAAGATTAGCACTCAGTAAAGGTGGTGGCACACATTTGTATACCTTTGATGTTATGTGATCTAACGTTATGTATGTTGAAACTATCCAATATATATATAAATTTTATTTATATTCTAAGTTATTTTCTTAATTATAAAAGGCTTCCTAAAAATGCTGTAAGCCTGTACTTCCCCCTCCCAATAAAGTATTCTTATACATTTGGTATTTCAGGTGATGGTTTGTGGTTCTGTTATGGTAATGTTTTACTTGTTTAGTTGTGTATTGTGTTGATGTGCTTACTCATTTTAGCATGCTGTAGTAGCTAATTCAAGAGCGGACTTAGCGTAACACGGTGATTTCTAGTCTTACAAAAAGTCTCACAAGTGAAGGCTAATTGCAGAAGCACAGCAAAATAAAATGAAATGAAAAGTGACACATAATAAGTTTTCTTGCAAAAGAATGACAAAAGGCTAAGTGGGAGAAGCAGCCACCGTTTAAACACATCTAGCTGTTGCTGTGGAAATGCAAACAAATCAGAATTGTTTAAAGAAAAAAAGCTGGATGAACTCAATTTAAGGTGCTTCAGCCATTAGACTTAGAGGAAGTGGCAATTCTTTTTTTTTTTTTCTGTAGGAACAACTTACCAGGTGTTGGCAATTGGGGAAAACCTCCTCGATAAGACTTCTGAGGGGTAGCTTCCTAAACCTGCAAGTAACAGTTTAGTTGGCTTTTTCACTAACATGGGCTGCGCCCCTTTTTCTTTGAGATGTTCGTTTTTTTTTTCTTGCTCT